AAGTCTGTCTCCACCATGTGGCGCACTGCTGCATGAAGAGGTTTCGAAAGGAGAGCTTGGGCTCCAAAGACTTGGTAGTGTTGACCAAATTCATTTCGGCTGAAGGTAGACGGTGGTTGATGTTCTACGTCAGGGTTTCCATCTTCACGGGGTTTTCCCGCCTTCCCTGCTTCCAAGAGTAAACTCCTTTGAGGGAGGGGGTTAACTCATCAGTTGTGGTGTGTGTGTGTTTTCGTCCTATATATTATGGCGACAGTCCCCTCATTTTTTTGTGGTGAGACGTGTACTACACCTTCCAGCGCATGTAGAGTACGTCACTTTTCAGTGTATTTTTTCGTACAACTACAGCAATCCAGGGTCACACAGGAGGGGGTAAACACCAGGGCTCTTTGCCTCTTTTTATTTCTTTTCTTGCCCCACCTTCCTCCTGCAGTGTGTGCTGAATTTTATTTTTATCGCGAGAAGAAGGGTCCAGCCGTCCCTTTTCCCTTGTCAACGGTGCTAACTAACGTCGAAGTTTGGTACTCACGAGAGCTTGTCAGCTGTATTTCGCTTTCACCCGCACATACATTTCGTAAACTTTTCCCCCCATGGGGATTTGAACTCACGATCTCGGCAACTAGCGGATTACGAGGATACCACTATATATAATGGACCACCGGGGCGACCGGTGTGTAATTGCGTTCGATGTACGAATTAGTCTACCGTGTAGAAAAAGAAAAAATCATTTTCTACTGCGCAAACCACGACGGTACGATATAGACTACATATATGAAATGGCGGCCCAATTGGTACCTGCCAACGGCCGCGTTACATACCGTTCGACACGTGGCCCAGAGGGTACCGGTACCGTGCGGAAGCACGCAAAATTTCGGTAGCATTGTTGGGCCGCGCCGCCACAAACAAACCACACCCGGCAAGTATATTTCGTTGATATCGCACCGGGTGCGATAACACCGATCGATACCGGTGCCGAAATAAATACAACTAGACTAAATCATGCCGTTTTTGGATGACAGGTAGGTGTAGAAGTGCTGTAGTCTTAACCATTGTTGTTGCACATATATAAGTAGGACCAAGATACGATCCGAGCGGAGTATCTTACTGATGGTTGATCAGCGAGATACCCAACTATGGATGCGTCCCTCTTAGCCCAACCTCCTGTGGAGCTTGGGAATCCGAGACCCTCGGGCTTGGTCTCCCTCGCCTCTTCGGCGGGACACTCTCTTTTGTCTCTCTCTTCTGAAACCCTCTCCTCTCTAAATCTCAACGAAGAGAACTGCCAGCCCTTTGTAGTGGGTAAAGACTACTGCGACCTGGGCCTCCCCCCAACGAGGGAGGTCTGTGTCCTTATTGGCGTCGACGAAGAGGTTTTATATCGTTGATATCGCACCGGGTGCGATAACACCGACACCGGTGCGGAAACAAATACCGGTACAATTAATTAGCTAAATCGTGCCGTTCTTGAAAATTTTGCGCACCCCGGTGCCACAACACCGATGGGTGCGAAATCACCGATGGGTGCCATCACACGCACTTTTACGGTATGCGCGTATGCACAGCAGGCTATCCTTTTCATGATCGGTTATTTCCTCGCACGAAAAAACACACTGAAAAGTGTAGACTAGTCTAGTACACTAGACTACATACGCTGAAGAGTCTAGCACACGTCTCACCACGAAAAATGGGGGGACCTTCGCCATTATAAACACCTTGGGTTGTCAGCGGCATGGGTATAGGTTCAAGCAGTGTGCCTGTTTTTTGCATGTGTCGCATCACGCCATTACAGCTCATTAGAGAGAGAGACGCATCATCAGCTGCGTGCAGACGCAAGAGCGGGCAGCGATGCGAGCACACGTCTCGCGTACCACATGACGACGCGAAAGGGGCTCAAGTAAGGAAGGGAGCGTCCTGAACCACCACCACTACCAGCAGTAGTAGTAGGTTGTAAAGCGTATCTATCGCCGATCTTCTCCTCATGCTATGTAGACCAGCAGCCGGTCGTTTTGGTGTGCACGATATGCTTCAAATTCAACAACTAGCTTGTACTTCCTTCTATTTGCTTCATCAAGTAGAAGATGTCGAGCGTTGTTTTTCGTCGCAGAAGCAACCCGCGCTGACTACTACTAGGGCAGCAGCAACACGTCGGGTGCGCATGTTGCGTGCAGATTTTAAGTAAACATTGGCCGCGTGCAGCAAGGCATATTCACAAGCCCCTGATCAATCCGGGCCATGTTTGCTTACAGCAGAAAAAAAAATGTTCTCCCGACCAGGCGTGGCGACCGATAAACTGTACTGCGGACACGCCCGCCCGCTGCTGGAGCGCTGATGGGGGTGGGAGCGAAACACCCAATTATTGCACAGTGTATGTATGTTGTGTCCGAGTCGATGTTCGATCCACCCAATATATCTCAAATTCCAATGAGGAAATCCTTCTCTGGGTTATAAATTCTTCTCCCGTAAGAACTAACGAATGGCATTATTGACCCTACTGTACCCTTCAGGGTACCCCCGCCAGGCGGGTACAAACGCAATCACCCAGGTACTTTTGTTGACATATTGGACCATGAGTTTTTCCCTGTATGCATATAAATGATGCTAACTATCATCATAATATCCCCCCGGGGGCCTCAATCAACTGAAGCCCGTGTACGTATTTATAACTACCATAGTAACAATCACGCGCATCCATTCACTCCTTCATTTGTAGACACTTCATACTTGCAACAACGGCGCCGGCACACGTTCTTCTACACTTGTCCATCCCATCACGAAGCACGACGATGTTCCTGCGCTTCGTTCTGCCGGGTCGTCTGCTCCTCCTCCACTCACAGACACACCGCTCGCTGTTTCTGCCATTACGGGCATAAGAATACAGCATCAATCGGATGAAAAAGAACACCCACACACACGCGCATACAAGCATTACACCAGAATACAACGAAGAATGAAGAGCGGATTATTTACTGTATCGGGACAACAAACAAGCATGAATGATGACCTGTCCACTCTCTTGTCGAGTAGAAGTATCGCATTCATCCCCTGTCGCCTATCTGTCGCCTTCTTTCTTCACCACGGAACAGTCACCGTAATCAACCAACACTGCCAAAGGCTGCAAAAAAAGAGGCCCGCACGTCCGACTCCAAAGAACCCCTCTGCCCGACATCTAACAAGTCGACACCCAAAACAAGTTGGAAAGAGAAAAAAAAAAACGCAGCGTCAGTCAAAGCGTACAGGTTACTGCTGCTGCTGCTGCTGCTAGTGCGGCATCGCACCTCCCGTGAAAAACAATGAAGGACAACACACGCCGAACAGGCATCGTCTCACATTAACCCCACCGCCCCCCAAAACAAAGCACGTATGCATGCCAGCTTCACGAACTACAAGGCGCCGAAAACCTTTCAAACACAGGCACTCCCTTATCACGCGCCGCAGGGGCTTTTAACCTCAAACTTACGGACGCGCCCCATGTAGCGGCAACCCTTTGGCGAAAGCCACTATCCTTCATGCCGTCGGCCGAACCTCAACGCGCCAGGATCTTTGGGGATGGTCCAGGAACACTTCTGCCGCATCTGTTTACTTCGTTCGGGAAACCGAACCTAAAGAGAACTGCACCGAAAGCTGTTCAGAGAAGTGGTTGGTGTCCATTTACCCCTTCACCATCTACGAACGTTGAAAAAGAAACTGGGAACGGCGAGGTGCAGAAGTGGGTGCCCATCAGCCGTTGCCGGCCTCCCACTTGCAGCAATGAAAACCACCTGCCTTTCTTCGGGCACGGTGCCGTTATGCTCTAGCTGGTGGCGGCCGCTTGGGACTATACACGTTGTATCGAGGCCAAAGACACACCCACACCTACAACGATGTTGGCGCCCGCCAAAGGAGAAGACGTGTTCGCCACGAGCTCACCCGCAGGCTGGGACTGGACAAGATGCCTGGTGCATATTCCGAAACGAATCACAACCGTGCCTTGTGGGGCAGCGAGCAACCACACACCTTAACGGGCGCTCCCGTGTTTATCCGGCAACGCCCCACAACGTGGTGGTGGCGATACATGTATCTAAAACATTATGGGCATGTACTTTCTGTCTGAACATTGCTTCAACTCCACCGGATACGAAAACTCACACCAACACCGATGAGCGGGCGCTCCAGTATACCAAATAAGTCGGAATACTCAACTTCTACCCCCCTCCCCCCCGATGTATGTTGCGCATAAAGTATAAGAGTACCATAAAGCACTATGCGCCCGAAGTTTGTACGTATCGTATGATGCGACCGCCGAAGCGATCGACTCGCGTTCTCCGGTTACACGAATATCACGTCAGCTAGGAGATTATTCCAGCACCATCATTGCCCAGCAGGAAACCCGCCCTCACCACAACACACCCAGGTCGGCAACAACCACCGGGCTGTAAGCGACGAGAGACCAAAACAGCCACCACACAAGGTCCCCGGAGGGATTTTACGTACCCTCAAATTATCAGGGGAGGAAACCCAGGAACGGCGTTCTTCCTCTCACTCGGCTGACAGCACACAAGTCGTGGGGACGGCCCAAACGATACAGCGGGCAAAAAAGAACGAACCGTCGCCGAGGCGAGCCATGACGAGGAGGGCGATGACAGCAGCAACTTTCGACGATAAAATTGGCCTCGACAGTGCTTCATGTCACACCCGTGATACAATAGTTAATACTAGATATGCATATGATCATGACCAGACGGGCTTGACAGAACCACGCCCCTGACAAACATCTCTCCAGCGAAAATAGACACGCTCGGCGCGATGGCCAGGTCAATGTTCGCTACCGGTACGTAAGTGACCTGCCCGGAGCACCCGGGGCCCTTGACGCCCACGGTGCCCCCCCCCACCCCCCACCCCCGACGTCACAAGGGAACAAAAACAAATAAAACCGCCTGCAATGTCCCTG